CCACGGATTTGTGGATGTCAGATTTGCCTAGGTGTTCCCTAACCCAATCCAAACCAAGGGAAAGCCAGTTTTCTTTCTTTCTTTCTTTCTTTCTTTCTTTCTTTCTTTCTTTCTTTCTTTCTTTCTTTCTTTCTTTCTTTCTTTCTTTCTTTCTTTCTTTCTTTCTTTCTTTCCTGCCTCCTGCTCTCCCTCCCTTCCTCCCTTCATTCCTCCCTTCCTTCCTCCCTTCCTTCCTCACTTCCTTCCTCCACTCCTTCCTTCCTGCCTTCCTTCCTCCCTGCTTGCCTGCCTGCCTGCCTTCCCTGCCTTCCCTTCCTGACTTCCTGCCTTCCTCCCTCCCTCCTTCCCTCCCTCCCACACTTCCTTCTGCACTTCCGCACTTCCTCACTACACAACTTCTAAAGCAAATACACAAGCCTTACTGCAGTTCAGTGACATTTTAAGATCTTTCTCTGGATGTCTCTGAGAATGTGATGATTCTAAGAAAAAATTAAATTTAATTGGCATGAACATCAGATAAAAATAACTGCTCCTCATCTTTGTTCATTAAGTCATTCTGCATGAAAACAGTAACCAAATCCTGTGTACTGTAGAGCAACCCAACTTTATTTTCTGCATTAAACACCTCAATTCTATCCCAAATTATAATTATATCATTATCTATCTTTCTCTTATGCTGATTTTTCTAATGACACTGCCTAATCCAAACAGAATTAAACTTTAGTCACAGAAGGTGTTGCTTTACATTAAATACACTACTGAGCAAAGGGAATACTGCCAAGTCTGGGCTACCTGAGCAATGTGATTCTTCACTGCTCCTAAGCTGATAATTGCAGGCTTGTGTCATGCACTCATTTGGGAAAATTAAGTAAATGGGTTTTAATCTTACTAAAACACTAATTTGCATCCAGCCAGGTAAGCCTTCTGATTTAGCTCATCATGTATTCATGTTTTTACCAAAAGAGGGAGAATGGGAAACCATGAAGCTGTAGGAGGACAAAATGTGAAACTGTAGCAGCCCAAGCTTTAATCTGCCTTAATTTCTGTGGAACCACACCTTAAGTCACAAAACAGATTTTTTTTTGTTCTTTAGTGTTATCATATATTGATTTTAATATATTTTTAACATATAGGGGTACAAACAGGAAAAAAAAAAACCAAGCCTGTGTCTCGTGCTCTAAAAGTGTTGGATTTAAAACCAGTCATGTCTGCTTGATGCTGTTGTGAGCTGGTCCACTGAATTAAGAAAATTAAGATTCCTGTTGTTAATGTTCAAAACCCAGCAATTACTAGTGCTAAGTGGCATATTGCATTGGAAATGCAAAAAAGACCCGCACAAACCTGTAAATAAACTTACACACTAGACTCTCCTTGCTCAGTGTTCCCTGCCAGTCTCATATCAAAGAGCTGAAAGAACAGTTGAAGAGCTTTTATGCAAAAAGAGCAATCTTTTCTCCAGCCTCAGCTGTTTTTCAATATAAATTCTATTTCAGAATTGGCAGAATTACAGGTTGATAAATAAAATCAGAAAAATAAATAGATTAAAAAAAATGGAGAAGAAAAAGTATTTTCTTGCAGAAATTCATTTTTAAAGAAATGAAGATTCAAGAAAACTGGCTGGTAAAATAGGAAGAGCTTAAAGAAAAGGCCAAACATACTCTCAGTCAATACCTCACCACAGGTGAGTGAATGTTTTACAGATTACTGAATTTCTGTAGGCTGTGTGAAGTCATCAATGACTGCATAGTTTGGCCCTCTTGTACTGTTTAATCTGTAGAGATTTGTCTAGTTGTTCCTGCTGCAAGGAACATAATTTTTCATTTAACTAGGACATATGTTTAGAAAAGGCCTCTAGGACTGATTCAAGGACTTCAAGTGAAGTAGAACCACTGTGCCCCTAAGGTATTGTTCCAGTGGCTTCCCACCATCAGGGTTAGGCATTCATGTTTTCAGATAGAATGTGTTTTGCTTTAACTTGCCAGCACTTAGGAAGAATTTCTATCCCAACAGGTTTCAAAGCTTTTCCAAAGTTTTAAAATACCTTTATACAGAAAATTATCTTTCCCTTTAAATGCTGCTTTGACGGTCCGCCACAATCCTTTCACAGAATCATAGAATCAAATATAAATAGGATATCCTGAGTTGGAAGGGACCCACAAGAATCATCAAGCATTTAGCATAACAGAGCTAACGCATAACAGCTTTAGCTAGCACTTGAGCTAAATACTCAGGAAACAGCCCAAGCTGCCAGGAGTAATGGAGAGGAGGATTTAGGAAAGTAGAATATGCTTAAGTAGTCAGAAAGTTTCATAGTGCTAATAGAACACTCATAAGCCTACAGAAAGCACTTTGGACAAAGAAATGAACAGTTCAGGTCAGAAGCTTAATACTGGCCTTATTCAAAACATAATGCAACTCTAGCTTCTGGCTGAGCTGGAGCAGCATGTGACAATTTCAGTTCTTTGATGTTTCTGGGACCCATCCAGAGCCCTGAAGTGAAGAGCTTTTACTGAAAACCTTCTCTTACAAGGTGTCAGCCTATGGTATCTTTGGCACAAAAACCTCCCATTTGATAGACTAGTTCTGGGCAGCACAGTGACACAATTTATGAAGGTGCAGTATCCAATAATATTTATCCAGTAATTGTACCTTTTGTATGTGTCTTTGATAGGAATACTGAAAAAGGCTGGATCTCAGACTTTGTTATCCAGCAATGACTTTTACATATGACTTCACATCATGCAATTCACCTGTTTTACAACAGTTTTTATGGACACAGCTGAACCCCCTTTACCTCAATAACCAAGTTCATCACTAAGAGATCTTTTTATTACTGTCTCAGGAGGAGAACATCTCTCAAATAATAAGCAAAACTTAGGATTGAAAAACTAAAAACAAGACAGAGAAACAAAAATCAATATGTCTTTTCCCTGGATTTTATGTTTTTCACTTTTACAAATTAACCAGAAAAAGTCAGTGCCAGGGAATTAAATTTATTTTAAGAGTTCTCCAAATATGAAACCAGCAACTGGTTTAAAAGAAGGTTACAAGCAAAATCAAGAAGTCAGCATCAGTTTTCTCAAAGATGTAAGTGGAGTGGGTCTTTGTAAGGGGCCAGGCCTCTAACAATGCCCTTTGGTGTAACTGGTAATGTAGGTTGTTTTAGCATCTAGGAGAGTGTGATGCTTTGGGCCTGACCAGACAGGTTTATAGGTTTACCTAACTGTGAGCAAAGGAGGCCCATGATGGGTCCAAAACATAGTCAAGAAATCTATTGGTTTTGCTGGGAAAATCTGGAGCATGAGTGATAGGTTTTAGTCTATTTCGTAGCCAAGGCTTATAGTCTTCCTTCACTATAGAAGAGCTTTAAATGGTTCATTAATATTATTAGGCTGTGCCAAAGATTGACACATCTTGGCTGGCTTTTCATTTGGGTGCTTCCAATGTGTCCAAGTAGTGGTGTGAAGGTCCATTTTCTCCAGAGGAAGAAGATATACATCAGGTTTTCTGGTGGATACACGGGGCTGTAGTCAAGCTTTGTGTTTTTCCTGAAATTCAGTTGAGAAAAGAAGACAGGGACTAGCTTTTTCTGGTATGGTTTTGGAAGCTTGGTTGGCTGACCAGCCCACTCCAGTTAGAAAATTTTGTGCATAGTGAGGCCATCAAATGAAACATAATTGACCTTGTATTTCTGAATTTCATGGGCATAATGTTTCACCATAGGAGGTGGCATATCACAAAATCTCAGCATTGGCAAAGACCTTCAAGATCATCCAGTCCAACCCAGCCTAACACCTCAACTAAACCATGGCACAAAGTGCTACATCCTGTCTTTTTTTAAACACATTCAGGGATGGGGTGACTCCACCACCTCCCTGGGCAGACCATTCCAGTACTTTATCACTCTTTCAATAAAAAAAAATTGTTCCTAACATCCAACCTGTATTTCCCTCGGCACAGCTTAAGGCTGTGTCCTCTTGTTCTGTCAGTTGCTGCTTGGAGAAAGAGACCGACCCCACCTGACTACAGCCGCCTTTCAGGGAGTTGTAGAGAGGGATAAGGTCACCTCTGAGTCTCTTTTTCTCCAGGCCAAACAACCCCAACTCCATCAGCCATTCCTCACAGGGTTTGTGTTCCCAGCCCCCCACCAGCCTCGTTGCCTCCTCTGGATCTGCTCAAGCATCTCAATGTCCTTCCCAAACTGAGGGGCCAGAACTGGACACAGCACTCCAGGTGTGGCCTCACCAGTGCCAAGAACAGGGGAAGAATGACCTCCCTGCTCCTGCTGGCCACAATATTTCTGACCCAGTTCAGGATGCTGCTGGCCTTCTTAGCCACCAGGGCACACTGCTGGCTCGTGTTCAGCTGGCTGTTATCAGTACCCCCAGGTCCCTTTCTGCCTGGGCATTGTCCGGCCACACTGAACCCAGCCTGTAGCACTGCAGGGGGTTATTATGACCAAAATTCAGGACTCGGCACTTGGACTTACTAAACTTCATCTTACTGGACTCTGCCCATCCATAATTCACACTGTGATTGGTTATGTACTCAAAGGGAGCCCTGCTTTTCTATATTCAGAGATTTGAAGTTTTGGATGGCAATCAGTCCCCTGTAGAAACAGTCATTCTGGTTCCATGGTAAAATTTCTCTTTTTATGGGCCAAACCTATTGTTTGGTCTGATCTGCTTTGTCTTCGGTTCACTCTGTAACACACAGTCATCTGAAATGAAAGAGGAATCATACTGAAATGTTCAACTGAAATTCTTTGATGAGTTTAGCCATATATCATATTATGATCATTACATTTTCTCCTTCAATAAATATTTGTTTATGATGTAGTGTTTCACAAATGTTATTCAAAGAGCAGCTGTAGAATACATTATACACTAGTGTGTTAAGCCCTGGAAATACTCTGCATCTACACAGAAATTTGAATCAAATAGGCCTGTGACCCACTCATGCCTACAGAGATGGTGAAATACCATGAGGGAAGATTAAATAGTATTCTCAGTCTCACAGAGACATTTTCTGCAGGTAACTGAGAGGGTGCCATCTTCCTGCTCAATAAACCAGGAATCATGGATGTGTAGCTTCAAGACAGTGTCTTCAACCTACTTCAAACACCTTCCTGCTGCTGGATTGTGGCTGGCTCCAAGCACAGAGTATGCCTGTGTCTGCAGAAAGCTGTTTTCAGATGTCTCACACAGCATCTCTAGCATCTCTAGGACAAGGAGAATGAGATGTCCACCGTTCCACTCTAAAGGCTAAGCTGCAGTGCTGAACATCTGGGATGCTGCCTATGGCTGGCCAAGTTCAGAGGCTTGCAGCTCATGTTGGTGTTAGCAAGCTGTGCTGTGTGACATCTCCTCAGCCCTTGGCTTTGCTCTCCATGGTGCTCCTGCTGTCAGAACAAACAGAAACAGAAAGAACTTGCAACTCTGTCCCAATTCTTCCTTGTTAGAAAAAATGTGCTGGAATTTGTAGAACAAGCCTGCATGAATGTAAAACACTGAATTATCTTGCAGAAATAGCCCATATTCCAGAAATATTTGCTATCCAAATTTATGACTAAGAAAACATTTTATATGGTATTTTAGGGTTGTGCAAATGTTCCTTTCTTGACAGGATATCAGGGAAATAAATGAGGCCCTGTAATCTGAAAAGATTTGTGCTGTCACACTAGGAATCTATCTCAAAGCTGCCTAACTCTCTGACCAGTACTGTGGCCAGAATGCCATAGCTTTTTCCCCTTTCTAGTAATTTTGTGCAACTTTCCCTAGAAACCATTATGGTTACTGGCAGGAAATTAAAATTAAATAGCCTTGGAGCTAACCCAAGGGGTGTTTTTATTTTCTTTTTTTTTAATTTTCCTTCTTTTCAAACCATACTAAGAATCATGAGGCAAATAAGCTTCTAGCTGACTCTGGAGAAGAAGGAAGTCTAGATGTCAAATTACTACAGAGTAAATGATACAATTAGGATATTTGTATTAGGATATTTGAACCCTTCAGTCCCATCAGAAATTTGGCACTCCCATTTCCCTTGGGAAGTAAGAGATGTCCAGGCACCACCACACTGGTGAGATACTGACCTTTTGCCCATATCTAGGGTACATCATGTTTCCTGGAGAAACAGTCCAACCAGGTGAAGCAAGAACATATACAGATACGTTTTTACATGAAATGCATTAATAAGGTGTTTAAAAGTGAGAAGCTAATGAGATTCAGACCACCTCTAAGAAGAGGTTTGTTCAGAGATCTCACATTTCAGCCACCAACCAAGAGTTACCAAAAAACTTTTCAGGTTCTTCCTTCATCTTTGTTGGAGAACACTCTGTGCATTTTGGATGTAACCACAGCTCTTGCAAAATATTCAAAATATGATAAGCAAGTCCATCTGTCTTCAATTTTTAAAATTTATAAGCTCTACACATTTGGAGACCTCATAGGCATTATGAATTTATTTTACTTAGTGTAAGCCAGCAGTGCTACTATTCCTACAAAATATGTTACGGTTTTATTGTAACTCTAATTCTTAACCATTAGATATTAATAGTTTCCCATGTTGCACAACCTTGAAAACATTAGGGGGTACAGGAGGGAATGCAGGATATGAACCATATGTTGTTGGAGGGTTAGGCACAATTAGATTACATATCTGGGGATAGGCAGAAATAGCCATGTGTGTAGCCTGAAGACGAGAATTTTGAAACTTTAAGTTGCAAAGTCATCTGACATGAACTGTGTTAAGCATAAGCATCATCTTAACCCTACAGCATCATTTGGTATATGATGTGTTCAGTGGGAAACAACATGACAATGCAGTAGGAAAAGTAGCTTAATACCAAAGCAGTATTATTTCAGATGCTGTTCCAATATTTCAGTTATGATAATTAATTTAATACAATGTTCCAAAATTTGATACTTGGGTAGATGTGCTGGTGTTGGCTGAGGTGGAGTTAGTTTTCTTCACAATGGCAGGTATAAGACTGTGTTTTGTATTTGTGCTGAACACAAGAGTTGATAATACAGAGATGTTTTTGTTATGCAGGGCTTACACACAGCCAAGGCCTTTTCTGCATTTTGTACTCCATGATGGTGAGGAAATTGGGGGTGACACAGCCAGGAGAAGTTCAGAGGCTGGGAGGAGACACAGCCAGGAGAGGTGACCCAAACTGACCAAAGGGACATTCCAGATTGCATAGCATCATGCTCAGTACATAAAGTGGGGGGGAAGGAGATTGTGGACAGGCATTTGGAGCGATGGTGTTTGTCTTCCCAAGTCACTGATACCTGTGGTGGACCTCTGCTGTCCTGGAGATGGCTGGATACCATCCTGTCCATGGGAAGCAGTGAATTAACTCCTTGCTTTTCTTTGCTTTTGTGCACAACTTTTGTTTTCCCTATTAAATTGTCTTTATCCCAGCCCATTTCCTGTTTTTACCCTTCTGATTCTCTCCCTGATCCTGCTGGTAGGGGAGTGAGCAGGTGGTTTCATGGGGCTCGGCTGCTGCCTGGGGTTAAACCATGGCAAGGATCACTAAAACCTAGCAATGCTTAGAGAATAGCACAATGAAAACTTGCAATTCTTTTTGTTGAACCTGGGTCTTTAAGACAATTCATTCAGTATGCAACTCAGTCTTTTAGAGGGCTTGGACAAAGATTTCTATTTGCAGTATTTGGGAAAATACTGTAAATTATAACCAAACGTGGCTGTGATACCTTTTATTAGAACTCTGGAGTTACACTTATGGTGCTGACCTAAACACTGAAAAAAGATGAAAATATACATACCTATCAGATATGAAGTTAAGGATATCTAAACACAGAAGGACAGATCCTCCACTTGCACATAGCAGCCTTTTTTTTTGGTTTCACTGAAGATATGCCAATGAATACCATCTGGTGACATTGCCTATGCAAAATAAAGTGTTCAAAAGTGTGTAGATACAGATATTTTGCACCTGTGGGTCATAGTCTTCACAACTCAAGTCATTCTAAATGGACATTTCCTGTGTGTTTGAAGGACAAACTGCAGTGTATGCAAACATGCAGCTGCAAACGAGCAGCAATTAGAATAAAGTATAAATTTCAATCATTTCAGCCAGGTAATTTTAATGATACATTCACATGCCTAGTAAAAGGCAATTTCTTTTATCATTTTGACTTCAAATAAAAATATTGTCTGTGACATTGGGACAAATCTGCCAATAATAAGCACCAGTCATAAGCTATTATATTTGCACAGCATAATAAAATAAAATACAGAAGCACACAGAAACTATCTATCTGCCTACCCACATTAGCTAGCTGAAAGGTGAACAGAATGGAGGTAAAATCCTCTGACTCTATACTTACAACTTACTACCAAAACTAGTAGGGTTATTGTAACTGTGTAAGTGAAAGTTTTTTCCCAGAGCACAGGGAAGACAAATTGTGCTGCTGAAGAGGAGGGAAAAAAGCTCACATAAAGACAAATCACCAAGTTAGTGCAACTGAGAAACAAGGGCATAGTTAGATGTACAGTTCACCTGTTTTACCAGCAGTAAAGCTGGAGTGCATTGTCTGTCTATATTTCCTGTATACATCTCTTGTACATTCATGGAATACCTCTGCAGGAAGCACAGAAAGGGTCTCATACTCCATGAACTGCTCAGACCTAGGAAATTCTGTATATTTTAGATGTGTCTCACCCATAGAATGTGTGGATGAGCTATGCAGTATACCAGTAATATGTTCAGTACATCCTAAACATGCTGTTGTTGGATCAACATACAGGAATTCCCATGGCCCTGCTTCTACCTAGGATTCCTATAGGCCTGTTAGATATGGAAAGGAAGTGAATTCAGAGAGATCTCATTAACACATTATACACATTAGCGACCATTAACGCAGCACTGTATTACCAACTACCTATTTCTGTCTGCATGGTTTCTGCACAGCTTGTTAGCATACATGTACAGAAGAAGTAGAAACTGCACACTGTTTTAATCTGTCTTCTTAAAAAATAAAGCTACCTGTGAAGTCCTGAACAAAGCTGCAAGGGCAGCTTACCTTTGTAAGTAATTCTTATATCCATCTTGGCCCTGGGGATATGTCTCCTCATCCTCCAGGAGCAGCATGGAGATACTTGAGACATACTGTACAAGTTATAGTCATGTCTGTAAGTGGAGGTCAAATCCATATTCTCATGTCTCTTGACATGCTTTTCAGATGGTTTGGGTTCCTGTGGCAACACTTCTTGATCTATGTAATCTGTCCTGAAATTAGTAGAGTAATTTCATTATTTCTTTTTTGCTCCAGAAAAATATATGCTCCTTTTTCTGGACACACAAAGAAATGAATATTTCCCCTTATCTCCACCAGCTAATAAAGTTTGGATATGATGCAAGCAGTTGGTGAAACACACAAGCCTTTTGCATTTGAAAACATGGACACTGCAAAAGGAACAGAGGCAGCTCTTGATAACCACAGCCAAGCCAGGTCTCCCCTTTTTTCCACCCAACAAGGGTAATGGCTTTACATAGAGCTGTCTCTGTTCCACAGTGGAATTACAGCAGAAGACATAACTCATTTTAAAGGGCAATAATTATAGAGGCTATCTAGTGCTTACACAGAAGAGAGGCAGCAACAGCCTTCCCAGACAACACACAGGACACCAGCTCAGCCGAGGCTGGGGAGGTAACATCAGAACAGTTTACAGCAAAACACCAGTTGGGCAAAGAAACATCAGCATGTCCAGATAGCCAGCTTTTTCTCAGCTATTGCTTTAAAAGAGCTACTTAAGATACTGGGGCAGTGTTACCTAACTCAACTCTAGGACAACTCCAGAACCACAAGAAGATTGAGAAGAAAACAACTTTACCATCCAACATTCAACATCCTGAACCTATTTCACTGCCCAAATCCTTTGGTACAGGGCAGAGAGTTTTATGCCTGGCACAAGCAAATTCACTTTCTTGCATCAGAAGTACTTCTCCACTGGTGTGCAGATATAACAAAATGTGTGTGCAAGGACTAGTCTACAAATATAGCAATAGAGACAGGTGAGGGTATGCACCCATCATCTGTGCACCTGCCATCCAAAGGAAAGAGACTAGAGGCAGTACTGGAGCCCTGGGTGGTGACACAGATCTGTTTTCTCTACCTCTCTTTTCCTCTCTCTTCTTCCTTTCTTCCCCTGCTTAGAAGTTTGAATCACGGCTGCTGCAGGCTGTTCAACAATCACTATTGTCACATGCTGTCAAGTGAAGTTTAAATCGTTGCCGCCACAACCTACCATAAGATTTAAATCATTCCCACCATAAATAAAACTTTTTAATTAATCACACAGCATAGTTTTGCTGTAATTCAGCCCCTGGTCAGGGGCCCTGAGCCTCAGCTCTCTAAGAGCAGGTGGTGCAGGACTGCCCTCTGGGCACCTGACATGTTCCGACAGCCCAGGGCGGTGCTGCAGGCTGGGGAAGTACTGTCAGGAAAGGTGCCCGAGGAAAAGAACCTGAGGATGCTGGTCAACATCAGCCGAACACGAGCCAGCTGTGCCCAGGTGGCCAAAGAGGCCAATGGCATCCTGGCCTGTGTCAGCAATAGTGTGGCCAGCAGGACCAAGGAAGGGATCATTTCCCTGTGCTCATCGCTGCTGAGGCCACACTGTATTCACTTTTGGGCCTCTCACTCACTACAGGAAAAACACGGAATTGCTGGAGTGTGTCCAGAGAAGGACAATGGAGCTGGTGAGAAGTCCAAAAGCACAAATCCTATGAGAAGTGGCTCGAGGAGGTGGGATTGTTTAGCCTGGAGGAGGCTCAGGGGTTACCTTGTTACTCTCTACAGCTACCTGAAAGGAGGGTGTAACCAACCTGGTGGTCAGTCTTTTCTCCTTGATAGGATGACAAGAAATGGCCTCACGTTGCACCAGTAGAGGTTTAGAATGGATACTAAGAAAAATCTCTTTATGGAAAGGGCTGTTGAAGATTGGAACATGCTGCCCAGGGACATGGTTGTATGCCCACTCCTGGAGGTACTTAAAAGCCATGTAGACATGGAACTTAGGAATACGGTTTGCTGGTAGACTTGAAAAGTTAATGGCTAGACTTGATGTTCCTAAGGTTTTTCCACCCTAAAGGATTCTCTGAGGACAAATGGGTGGTGTTAGCTGGTAAGCCATTGTCTTCTTTTAGGTCTCTACTGTGATTCAGCAAAGGACATCACCAAACAATGACCAAGACTTGCAGGCCAGCAGCTAGCCAGAGCCAGAAACCCACAAAAAGGCTTGGCATGCAGCACTTCGCCATGCCAGGTTACTTGGTGTCAGCTCTGATAAACTACTCAGTTTCAAGTATCTAGCACAGTATCTCCAGGTTTATCCAACAATAAGCAGTAGAAATATTTGTGACTAACATCAGCCTGCTGCCATCTTCTGGTGAAAAGTTCAGGACATTAAACAATGGCAAATACAATTGCTCCCATTATCTTGGACTTTTATCCCATGGGAAGACAATGAGATATTATTTGTGGAGTAATTACTTAGAGAGAAACAAGAAGGTTAGTGATCTCACAGGGGGATTAAGGATCCTTTTCATAAATCCCCTTTAAGTGACCCTTTACCATACATGCAATAACCTGGACTGTCAGAAGGACAAGGTGTCTTCAGCATGCCTTCTTAACCCACTTGCATTACAATTAGGCAAGTTTTTATTTTTCCATTCAGTAAACATTTTCAAAATTTCTATTTTGAAACAATATGTAAAAATAAATATTAATTTAGCGCTCCTACTTATGCAAGAAGTTAAAAAATTACTGCCAGAGCATTGAAGTGTAAGTCCTTCATAAAGTCAGGATTTTCTAACCCTTAGCATTTTCCACTAACTGAAAAACAATGGCTGCAAGAAATACTTAACTGATAACTAGTACAGGCTTCCAAAGCTAAATCTTCTAAGCAGCAGAGAGAGACAAATGATGAAGAAAGCTTACCTGCCTGACCAGCATTAACACACAGATTGCTCCTCCTACTGCAGAAAATCTGCCTAAAATGAAAGCTAGCACAGCTGGTCAACCCCCAAGAAATCATTCTTGGCTCACACCAATGCTTTTACCATTCTTCAAGATCAACAGTTTTGATTTGCAAGGACTGGTTGTTCATGTTCTCTGAGCACACAAACTACACTGAAGAGTGAAAGTGTGACCTCTGACTCTCTCAGCCGTGGTCTCTGCCAGTATGACTAGCTTCCAGCAATGCCATGTCCTTGAGATCGATGGAGAGGACTGGGTCAAGGAAGAGGAACAGGTTAGGAAGCGCTTAAACAAATGGCATGCTTGGGTCCATGGAGTACCCACAACCAGTACAGGAGTTGGTTCATGTAATTTTGAGGCGATTCTCTCTGTTGTTAAAAGGTTCTGACAACCAGGAAAGGTTCCTTATGTCTGGGAGAAAGTAAACATCACTCCTGTCTTAAAGAAAGGTGAGAAGGATTTTAACCTCAGTCCTTGATCGCTGAGTAAACAATCCTGGAAAATCAGTTCCAGACACTGGCTGTCAAGTCAGCTGGAGGAGATTTTTTGTAGCAGTCAGCATGAAAGGCAGATTGTGTTTAAGCCGAACTGAAAACCTTCTACAAGAAGACGGGGTTGGTACAATCTTCTGTAGGATGAGGAGCAGAGCAGTAGATATTGTATATCCTGAGTTTGGTAAGATTTTTGACACTGTCACCTGCAAAAACTGCATCAACAAACTGATGGCAATATGGGCTAGGTAAGTGGACTGTGAGACTAATTAATTAATGTTCTGAGCTGGTGGATTCAAAGAGTTGTGATGAGGAGTCAGAGGGCTGCCACCAGCTGTGATCCCAATGACTGGAAAATGCAGTAAAAACTATTATATATCTTTATAAATTACATATATCATGAGAGACACAGCACCTTCAGGCAGTTTGCAAATGATGCATAACTGGGAGAAATTGTTGCTACACTCACTGTGTGTTGCCATCAAGAGGGGTCTCAGCAGGATAAATAAATGGGTCAATGGGATTCTTCACTAGATTTTAGTCTGAAAGCCTCTTCCAACAATGACTACTTGCATCATTACTGAGCTCCTTAAAAAAAAAAAAAGGTGTGTAAATCAACTCTTTAAAACAATTAATAATGTGCCAATAACAGTGAAATGATTGGAAATGATTGTGTCCCTGGCTCCTGAAGTACCTTATAATAAATATGAGAAACTTTTCTGCAGCTTTCTCTAACTGGTATTTCAACATGCAAACTAGTAAAATGTATGCAGCTGTAAGAAACGAGTTGCTAGAAATACATGAGTGGCTATGGATTAGATTCACACCTTGGGATGACTGCCTACACATAAGTGAATCAGAAACCAGTGTTTGTGCCACAGAAAAACACTATCCCAAGCAAGATCTTTAAAAGTGATAGAACACCCACAATAGAGACAAAAAGGAACTCTCTGCAGTTGTGCTTTTTGCCAGTTGCATACAGAATTCTCCAGCTGTAAACCCATGCACAATCCAGCAGACACAGCTCAACAGCTCCACATAGACTGAAGTGTAAATTTGTATCCCCAGGGAGGATGGTCTGAAAGCATTCTCCTTTAGAAGAGCTACCTCCAAACGGTGTGCCACTGGAGTTAATCCAGCTGAAGTTAAGCATTGCAAGGGGGCTAGGCAGAGCTCTCCTACAGTTTTGCCATCACTACCAATAGAGTAATTTCTGCCAAAGTTTTTCCAAATGATGCAACACAGAAGACTGAACTAGAACTATCAAGCCATGAATGTAATTCAGGCTTGCTAAAAGACTCTCTCTCTGAATTTAATCTAAGTACTCATATTTTTTAAGTCCCTATTCATCCCATCTTCCCCCAATCTGTTTTGGCTGGGGTAGAGCTGATTTTGTTCACTGGGGCTGGTATAGGGCTCAATCCCCTAATCTTGTAGGTTTTACCCTCCCAATTCTCTCCCATTATTTGCAAAAATTCACAGACAGGACTGTACTTGCATTTTTCAATGCTCAGTGAATTAGTGACATTCAAATGTTCTTTCAGCTTTACTTTTGAATAAAAATAGACTGATATATGCCCAGTACAGACAGTACATACAAAGCGCAGACTACAAAGTTATGTGTTATCCTGTATATAACTTAAGAGCAATTTATATTTTTTCACAGCTACAAATTGAGTATTGGACACGCTACTACTAGACACTGTAGTACTTGATAAAATCACAGAATGGGTCAGGCTGGAAGTGACCACAGTAGGTCATCTGGTTCAACCTCCCTGCTGAAGCAGAGTCACTGCAGAGCATGTGGCAGGAGATCACATCTAGATGGGTCTTGAATATTTCCAGTGAGGGAGACTTCCACACCCTCTCTGGGCAATCTTTTCCAACGCTCTGTCACTGCACAGTAAGGAAGTTCTTCCTCATGTTCAGGTAGAACTAACTATATGTCAGTTTCTGCCCACTGACTCTTGTGCTACTGCTCATCACCACTGAGCTTGGATCCATCCACTGGCATCCTCTCTCAAGACAAAGACACTGATGAGGTCCCTTCTCAGTTGACTCTTCTTGAGACTTGATACACTCTGTGTATCACATTGCTCATGATACAGTAAATATTATAGTACTTGGAGGAAAAATATTCCAGACATTTCATCAAACCTTTGTGACAAAGCATATAAGCTCTGTCAAAAAAACCTTAAGTATAATCTTCCAAAGTGGAAAAAAAAAAAGATACCAAGGAATACAGAAGTTCATAAAGCTATCTTTTTGGAGCTTACCTTGTAATAATAGGTGAATCTAAAGTGTGATATACTGGCTGCTCTGCTGAGCTGCACAAAATTACGGCATACTCTCCTCTGGAGAGGAAAGCGTAGTACTGTACATTGCACTGTATTTCAGCTAATGATAATACAGTGCACTTAACTTCAGAAGCCCAAATTACACACTTTTTTAAGAAGCCGAACAAAGGAATCTTTTGATTAGGAAGTTAATGAGAAACTGAAAATCCCAAGGCTTAATGGGCAAGAACTTCAGATAGGTATCTTAAGATATTTAAAACTGTACATTAGGAATACTGTATTCATTTTCAGCAAATACCAAGGTTAAAAGAAGTCATAGCGTTAATCTTCTGGCTTCTCATAATACCCTGCTGTTGTAAACTCCTCCTTATTTATTAATGCTCTAAATGAAATTTTACCTAGAATTTCAAATTAATTATGATGGACTTCCAATATAAACCAAACCAAAAATGACCTAGTATCCAACACAGAACAGTGGACAGGAGAGCTACCACTTACAATACAAAAATCATAGTGTTACATTTAACTGCAAGAAGGAAAGATTCTGCTTCTATACATAACTCAAAATGTGAGGCCTGGTATTCACAGGAAACCCAAAATTTTTAGATGCCGTTTTTAATCCCAAACTGACAATGCAGTAACACAAAATGCAGTTTAATTTTTCTTAAGATAGGCCACAATCTTATTATCCACATCCTTACATGCAGTTAGCCCACAGCCCATCTAGCTACCTGGGCAATGCTTTGTGAAGTCACCAGTGCCAAGCTGTCAAGGCCTGGACAGAACACTGCTGGGCCTGTTCCAGGCAGCCAGTAGCCAAGGTGCTAATAGAACCCTAAACTTAGGTTTGAAAAGACCGTTTCTATCAAGTCCCACAAATGACCTAACACACCATTAAAGCATGAGAAGTGCCATATCCACACTTTTTTTCAACTTCCAGGGATGGTGACCTCACCAATTGCCAGGCCAGCCTTTATCAGTACTTTATAACCCTTTCCAGGAAGAAATTTTTCCACATATGTAAACTTCCTCTGGTAGAACTTGGGGCCATTTCCTTTGCCCTGTCCCCTGTTCCATGGGATTCTGATGCCCACCTGCCACTTGTAAGACCTGGAGAACAGCTGATACACTGTCTGAACAACATGTAAACTGGCTATTCCCTCTTAACCTGCTAACATACACAGCCACATGATACACATTACAACTTCCTCAACCAGCTACATGCCTTTTCACAGAGCCTGTCAAATTCTGCTTTATAAGGAAGATGTCAAATATAGGTGGAGCTTCTTGAAACCCAAGGCAACTGTTTCAGAAGAAAGGAGGAAGACAATCCAGAACAGAAAGCAACTTTATTTAGCAATGCCTCTAAGCACATTAGGTTAGGAGTCAGTACTTTTACAAGAAGTTTCCTCTTGGAATCTCAAGTTGTAGATTCTTACTTAACTACAGGCTCTATTATCTTTTACATCACAACACAGTAAGTGCATGTCAGTTCTTTAAATCAAGTAGCATTAACACTACCACAAGCAGTAAATTTTTGTAACTTCAGTGTAAAGCATTTATTCAGTAATACAGCTAAAGAAATATGCACTCCAGTGAAGTTTACAAAAAGGGAACAGCCTCTATCAAAAAGTAGAATTGATGGCAATATAGACGAGAAGTCTCAGTAAGAGAGATTAAGGCAATGGAATGTAGAGCACCACGTAAAATTTCAATCTGTTGGATAGAGGGTTGCGATGCGGTATGAGACGTGGATTAGGAACAAATTAACAGATTTCACTATTTCTCTTTTGACATTTCATTTTTTTCATTTTCTAGGGTTATGCCATTTATTCAATATCTGCTGTTTATAATACACTTAAAAAATATATAGTTCTGTATATAAATGATGGGCTGTACACAGAAAGCCACAGTGGATTACATGAAATTGGCACTGCCAGAGCAAGCAAATGACACTCCTAAACAAGGAGACTGGAATGAAGTGTCCACCAAAATGAGTGCAACTTCCCGATCCAGACAATGCTTGGAGAAGATGCTGCACACTCAAGTGAATCATAAATGCACTGCTGTGGTTAGGCTGCTGCTTTACAAATTCCATCCTGATGAAGGTTCCTTTGTGCCTGGCTTCAACTGTTCTTATCTGTAAGAGAAAACATACTAGTCTGCACTCTGTAAGACAGGAATACTGAAGTTGTTTCACATGTATTAATAAAGCATATATGAAATGGTACTGTAATTCTGACAAGTGCTCCTATCAGTGGCTATCAACACAGCAGCAGTTCTAAATGAAACCTATATTGCAAAAAGTGTGCACAAAGAAAAATTTCACTACTCCTTGAGACTAGTTTATATTAGATTCCAAGTACTTCACTGAATCACAGAATCACAGCATAGTTAGCACTGGAAAGGATCTCTGGTGATGATCCAATCCAAGGATGGATGTCAGCAAGGCAGGGTCACCTAAAGCAGGTGACACAGAAATGTGTCCAGGTGGGGTTTGAGTTGTCTCCAGAGAAGGAGACTACACAACCTCCCCAGGCAGCCTGTCCAAGTGCTCTGCCACTCTTACTGTAAAGAAATTCTGCCTCTTGTTGAGGTGAAATGTCTTGTGTTTTAGTTTAGGGCTGCTACTCCACATTCTGGTTTTGGGCACCACTGAAAAGAGTCTGGCACCATCCTCCTGAAACCCACCTTTGGGATGTTTCTATGCATTGATGAGATCCCCTCTCACTCTTCCCCAGACCAAACAGGCCCAGCTCCCAGAGTCTCTCCTCACAAGAGAGAAGCTCCAGACCCCTGACCATCCCTGTGGCTCTCCACTGGACCCTCTCCAGCAGCTCTTTGTCTCTCTTGTGCTGAGGAGCCCAGAACTGGACACAGCGCTCCAGGTGTGGCCTCACTGGGGCTGAGTAGATGGGGAGAGTCACCTCCCTTGACCTGCTGGCCACACTCTGCAGCCCAGGATACCACTGGCCCTCCTGGCCACAGGGGCACTGATGGCTCATGGACAACTTGTGATCCACCAGGAGTCCCAGGTCCTTCTCCCCAGAGCTGCTCTGCAGGAGGTCAGCCCCAGCCTGTGGTGGCACTTGGGGCTGTTCCTCCCCAGGAGCAGGACCTGACACTTGCCCTTGTTGAGCCTCATTAGGTTTCTCTCTGCCCAACCCTCCAGCAGATCAAGGTCCCAGGGAATGGCAGCAGAATGGATCAGCCACTGCCCCCAGTTTAGTGTCACCAGCAAACCTGCCAAGGGTGCACTTGATCCCTCCCTTCCTCCAGACCACTGATGAGTAAGACTGGTCCCAGTACTGATCCCTTGGGAATACCACTGACTGCAGGCCTCCTGCTGGACTCTGCTGCACTGATCATGACCCCCTGAAGCTCTGCCATTAAGCCACTTCCTGATCCATCTCACTGTTCATTCCTCCAACCCACATCTCCTGAGCTTACCTGTGAGGATGTTATAGGAGACATCAAAACCCTTGCTGAAATTAAGGTAGTGCAGACACCACCTGATCCATGTAGATGTACACCCAAGCTGATGACTGATGCAATGTGAGCTCTGGGTGGGAGCCCGAGGCAAAAGGCTGTGAACTGCCCAACTTCAAGATAACAAGGGCCATGAACATGGATGACAGCAGCCAGGTGCATGGACACTGACAGACACGTCAGGAGCTGAGAACTGTCTACCTTTTGGATAACAAAGGAGATGAAGACTGGTGACACCATCCTAGGTGGATGGACACAGAATAGGGACAGAAGCTGAAGACCTGAAGACTCAGGAGGAAGAGCAAGACAGAGGAGGTAAAAGATCTAGGGTTCCTTTGCTGGGGCTCCTGCTCAGAGGCACCAGCTCAAGCTGCTTCTATGTTACTACACCATGAATAAATGGCTTTATGGACTGAGACATCTGAGACACCACTATGGGAAACCTGGTGAACACACTATAGGTTGAACCTCTAAGGAACCTCTGGTCTGCCTGCACGTGAGTGTGGGCATGTAAGAAGTCAAGCAGGGCACCTGCCAGCTTACTGGAGTCACCCACTGTGATGGGACTTCACGCCCAACAGTGAAAGTCTCTGACGCTGGGAACGTCACTACCAGAGAGTCTCATGAATGGCCAAACTGGGAAGTTTCTTTAACAGCAGACATTATCCACTGCTCTCCCCTAGCCAAGCCATCCTGCAATGTCATATCAGAAAGCTATTGGTGAAGTATGATTTCCACCTGTCTACTCCAAATGGGCATCCTGACTACTTGGTGAATCCATCCTGACTATTCCTCATGATCTGCATTTCTTCTACATGCTTGGTGATGATCTTCAAAGTGATCTGTTCCACCACCATTATAGGGATGATGGTGTGGCTGACCGGCAAGTAGTTTCCTGGTTCTTCCTTGCTTCCCTTTTGGAAGATGGATGTTACATTGGCTTTCCTCCAGTCATCAGGCACCTCCTCCATTTCTCAAGAATAATGGAGAATAGCTTAGCAACAGTATCTGCCAGCTCCTTCAGCACCCATGGGACCATCCCACTGGAGCCTATGGATTTATGGGCATTAAGTCTGTATAGCTGACCTTTAATTGAGCCCTCTGTGACCAGGGGCAAGTTTTACTTTCTCTAGACTTCCTCTCTTACCTCTGAGGTCTGTGATTCCTGAAGGACAGCCTCAGCAGTAAAGACTAAGGCAAAGAAAGCAACCACTAATTCCACCTTCACTGTGTCTTCCATCACAAGGACACCCATCTGCTTCAACAATGGCCCCCCACTTTCCCTTATCTTCCTTTTCCTGCTGATGTACTCATCATTGACATCACTTGCCAGACTCAATTCCAAGCAGGCAGTGGCCTGCTTCATCATACCCCTGCAGATATGTTTCTGTTTACACAGAAAAATTTAGTTCATCCATTACTAGTTCATTTTAATCCATGTATTTCAATAATTTAACTTCATGTGTAACTAAACACTGCAATACTGGCTGAACAGTTGACACTTCAGTTAGAAATGGGGTAAGGGGATAGGTGGACTGGAATGCAGGATAGTTCTACCAACACCTTAATAAACTCACAGAAGTTTCAATGACCTATGATTCATTTCTAAATAGCCAAATTTGTTCACAGTAGACACAGAACTTCAAACTATCTTTGTGAATTCTCAAAATCTAACTTCATATTACTCAAAATCTAACTGTAGATTGTAGTTAGTGCACCTTAAGGCTTTTTCTTTTTTTAAACAGCTTCAGATTACGGCAGAAAGCGAGATGAACATATTTTCTCATATTTGAAAGATACTGATAGAACTCTAGAACTAAAGCAAGCATGTTTCCTTTATTTCTAACGTCTCATCCTCTATGAGGAATAAGCATACAAATTTGTTTCCCTCCAGTTCCACAGCACAGTTCAACTGCACAGAGGTTATTCATGATAGTGAATGAATGTACAAAAGTCTTGATGCATAAAGAACACAGACACTTACCCTTCAATTTATGTAGTAAGTTAGTGGGCCCTCATGTACCATCCTGTTGACCAGATACCAGCAAAGATGACAGGGAGTATTTGCTTTCATTAGGAGAGCTTGGCAATGGCATCGTGGTAAACCCTTCATCCATGGAAGGACCATCATCATCCCCTTCTTCTGATATTGTACCTAATCTAGCTTTATTACTCTGACATTTGTCTCCATTATGTTTTTGATGCAGCTTCTCTTCACTTTTAGATGCAGTCTTTCTTAGCACTTCATGTGAGTTGGGCGGGGACTGTATATCTAGGTCCAATATTTTAATATCCTCCTTATTTATCGAGCCATCCATTGAATTTTCACTGTCCATTGTATTAAAAACAGACTCTGAGCTTGGAGACATGCTGAGATATATACTATCAATTTCTGGAAGTGTCTCACCCAATATTCCCATGTCAGTAGTTTCATCAACAACAGCATTTAATGCAGATATATTCCAGCGTAGCGTCCCACCCATTAGAAAACTGGAGCAGTGGTCTGAAGGTCCTGTATTTGTTCTACTATCACTTTTCAAATAAGCACCTGGAATATTCATGCTCTTCTCTGCATTTTGAGAAGTCTGGCTTAGATCTTCTACAGAACTTCCACTCAAAGCAGAGCAGTCTAGTTCCTCTGATTCAGTTCTCTCACTTTCTTGAATTCCAGATGTTTTTGAATCTGAAGATTCAAATGTATGACTTACCTGCTCCTGAAAACTAGATTCTGTAGAACTTAATTGAGACGTCTTTTCTGACACAGAAGGACCTAAGTCAGATACAGGAGATGCAGGTTCAGAGCACACAAAACTAGAGCCCACCTCCTCCTGCATGCTGGATGTAGCATTCATTGAAGATTCTTCTGTCACCACTTCAGCTGAGGACAGCTCTAGGTCTAACGAGCCCTCAGTCTGAATAGCTCTTCTCCATGAACTTCTAATTTCAGTAACTAAATGGAACAAACCAAGGTAAAATTTTAGTATTTTCAATCAGTCTGTTCTTATGCTGTCCCCTCAGTGACATGTGTAATCCAAGAAGGAATATGTATAGCTGCTTTATATTATGTTTCCTCAACACAAAGGGGATTCTATGTAAGAAAAATAATCTCTTGAGTCAAATTCACAGTATTCACATCATATTACATCTACTGTGTTGTGTTAGAGCGAGCCATTAGAAAAACATACAATATCACTGAAATAATTATAGTTTTCTTCTTGTGTGACATGTTAATGAACTAACCAAATTTTTTATCAAGGAGCATTATAAAAACAGTTTCAAACTCACGCAGATTTTCTGGGGTTTGGGTTATTTGTTTCCTCATTAAGAATGTGTTAAAAGACAGTGAGCTAAAGACCTCATCCAATGCCACTCCTTCTTCTTCAGCACTGTCTGTTGACTCAGACATCACTGCCTTTACAATCTGTAGGAAGTTAGAAAACAGCAAATTCTGAGAAAGCAAAATTATAACCTCTTTGTTTCTGTCAGTTATGGTTCAAAATAAATCTTGTGCTCCAAATTATCTGCAGCATTTGGTATATACTAACTTTTCTGTTATTTACTACTTAGGTTCACAATGACCACAGTACCCTAGAAACACAAAATGAAGAAAAAGGACTGAAATCAGACTCAATTCTCAATTCACTCATCATCTATGAATCCACCTTTCAAATATGGAAGAGTGCTCAGATAGAATATATTTAAGACATCAGTCAATAACAGCATAAGCATGAACACTAGAGATACATTCAGATAAACAAAAAATCTCAGCAGATGAAAAATAAGTATCATTTCAGTGAAAAATGCAATTTACTTTCTAAAATAAGATGTGGCACATTTTACCATAACTCTTGTGAAAGAATTCCTCAGTCAATATTAAATAAAATACCTAAAAAACCCCCTTACATTCCTGCTTAAAATTACCATGTCCCTATTAAATACTTAACCTGTATAACTTAATAATTGAACAGTTATTTTTGGTTCTGAATATATGCAGTGTACTTCACAGACTGAAAGGTAATCACACCATGATTCTACTGAACATGCTATTCACTTCAGCATGATTTTTAAGTACAATACCTGCACAAACGCCATCTTTTAGTATGTACTTTATCAGTCCACTCCAAAATTCCATGACTGATAACTCTCTAGCAGAAAAGGTAACTTTCGATATATGTGGATTACAAGAGAAATCTTTTGCTATAATTAGTGACTTGTTCTCTAACTTAGTGATCACTTACTTGAAACCAACCAAAAAAAAAGTTTATCCTAACCTCTTCTGCCAATTCATCTCTGGCTTTTTCAAGGCTGTCTTTTCTCACAGGAGACTTTGGCTGGGTAATATTTTCATCTGCATTCTCCTCCATTGCTGAAGTGGGAAATTCTTTCTGTCCATTTCTGAAGATTTTTGGAGGCACAAGTTTTTTATCTCCCACACAAGTATGCAAATTCTACAAGAATACACAGGAATCATTAGTAGTTTTAAATTCAAGCAAGGATATTAGCATGAACTGCTGTAAAAATTCTGAACTGCAATGGCCCCAGTGTTTCATGAACAAAAATATTTCAGTCTTGAATTCTAATTAAATACAAAATACTTTTACAACTGTATTCAAACTAGAACCTAAGTAGAGATAGGTATTATATACAACACAGATGACTCATTTGCAACTATCTTAAACATAGTACAGTTGTGCAATGGACAACCGTACATCCTAGTTGCTTTTATACCACATTTTAACCCTTAAATTTCATTTACAACTTAAAGAAACAAAGTCTGATCACTGCTCACATCAAAAAGACTGTTTCAGCAAACAGGGAATCAGTCATACATTGTATGTTATACATGAAGCCAGATACAATGGCTGCTTCGTTCTTTCCTAAAGCTTCACAAAGTCACTGAGAGTTAGCTTTTACAATTTTGCCAGACTAACTCAAATGCGCAAAAATATTGCTCAAAGAACAACAAAAGAGCACTCCCAAAACCCCACAGAAGAAACCAAAGCCCCCAGAAAACCACCCCCAAAACCCTTTTCCACAAAGTCTAAGTTTCAACCAATATAAAAAGGACATGTCCTAAGTTTAACTTATTTCAAAGATAGGTGGTTACATTTTCAATTGACAGGTCCCCGTTGTTAGATGCTTCTGACAACGATGGAACCAACAATCTCGTCAAGGAGGGAGAGAGGAAGTGACTAGACAAAAAAACACCAACAATTTTAGAGACAAATTAAACAACTGGAATGCAAATCTTAGAAGGCTGTTATATATTGTGTGCTCCGTATCTGTCCGTTACGATTTCCCTCAATTCGTCCCGGTCATCAGAAAGCAATTTTACTATAGGGAGAGCAGTGTGACAAATAGAGCAGCTTTAGCCCTAGTTGTGTATCAGCCTCCCAAAAACAGAAAATTAATAAACTCTGCTATTGATTAGCACACGGAAAAAGAAGAGATTTTTCAATACACTTGTAAACAAGTCTTCTGATTTCTGCTATAAAAGATAACTGGAAAGTCTTCTGCAGACTTGAGAACATTCTACAACGTATGTAGTCTTTGAACCATTTGTCTGGCTTCTATAGGTCTGTTCCTATAGAGAAACTTGTTGATATTTAACAATCACTTGGCTACCAAAATCTTCACCCTTTTCCCTTCTGGTAAATTTCATGCCAATTGCATATCTTTCAAAACTGCATAGTCCTCACTTGCCAGGAAAACCACACCTTAAAATGTTTTTGATGTTACCTGTCTGTAGCCTCAGAAGCGGAAAAACCTTCATGCTGCATGAAGTCACTGAAAGAACACCAGGAGTTAATTATTAATTACTTTGATAGCCTCTGAGACTTACATGCAACTACATCTACTGTTATGTAAGAATGGATAGCATTCCCTTGCTAACTCCCTTGGTCTCTTAGTAGGCAATGTTCAAGCATCTGTAGGAGTCATATTATGAAAAAACAGCATTATTCAAAAGGTCATTAAATATTCCTGGACTAAGCAAATGGCTTAGGGGAAAAAAAGAGAAAAAATTTTCTAGGATATCACTGTTCTGTGTTTAACCCTTTACTGGTACTATAGGAAGCGTAGCTACAGACTAATGTGACTTAACTCTCAAGAGTAATGAAAAGTCTTGTAGAAAAGGTTTGGTTTGAGAAACAGAAGTTTCTGTTCTCTCCATCTGTCTCTTGAATCTTAAAATATAGTAAAAAGCAAGAAAAAAACCCTGCAATTTGACTGCTAATCCTCCTATTCAGCAGCAACCAGTTGATCAATCTGTCATCAGCTGAAGAAAGCAAAAATTACTTTAGGACTATCTTGCTAAATCAAGTAGTAGTGATGTAATGAGTGGGCTACTGAAATATTCCACTTAGACTGAAGAGATGCAAAATATTCAAGTCCAGTAAGTAATATAATTTTTCTACTGCTTTTTTTTAAAAAAATTCTCATTAAGCATACCATCTTGAGGGTACTAATGCTGTATCTGTCATGGTTTCCAAAGCTCCATCATTCTTCCAAAGGCATTCTTCATAATGAGAGTCATTATTATCTAGAAAAGCAACTCAAAATTTTTAGTATTGCTTCCATTTTCTTCACTTAGGCTTCCCGTGTGACATAGGTCACTCACACTACTTCAGTAGACTACTCACTGGATGGATTTTATGAATATTTCAAGAAAAATAAATTAATTGATCCTTTTGCTCAGGCAGTACCTGTAGCCACAGATGCCACTAGCAGCCAGCACTTCTTTCTGTTATTCCTGAACACACGTTCAAGAAGCATAAATCAGTCAGACTTTCCACCTTCCTCAACAATACAACCCCAGCCACATAATCATTATCCCCTCCTCTCCACATACACCTCAGTTGTGTGGCACGTCAATTCTACAAAGCACAATTCCACCCACCTTTACCCAAACTACACTAACCAATAAATATCTCTGTGTATATACTCATCCATCTTGATACCTCAGTCCAAGCACGACAAAGCTTTGCATAAGAAAGTTTGGAACATGATTTAAGGAACACATACCTCAGTTATGGACTGTCTAGAACAGTGTACTAACTTTGGCACATCTTGAATACACAGCCAAAGTTTAACCTCCTAGTTCTCTACTAATCTTACATTTCAGCTTCTGCAAGGACAAATGGCATGTCCTGTCACACTCAACAACACATCAAAAATCTAAGTTCACTTCCAGCAGTTAGGTGAGGTCAGTATTTTGCTTTTGGAGCCAACCCTATTAACAGGCAGAAGTAAAGTTTTCTTAGTGGCTGTATGCTCTGATAATGCAACTCAACCACAGAGTAGAAAAAGTATCAAAGACATCAATTTGTCTCAAGCTTTCTGATTCTACCAGCTCACAGCATCACAGTACAGTACTTCAATCTTCTAATTTAAAGCAGATTATGTCCCAAATCCAATTCTGCAGCCTTTCCTCTGCAGCTTCTAGCCTTATACACACATACGCTCAGACAACTAGAGCTGTACTTTTACCTTTGTAACCAAAAGGATCTTCCTGCCATTGTTTTGAATCTTAAATTCCAATATACCTCTGCTATGCCATTTTTCCTAAAAGGGACTGCAAATGACATGATTCAAGCCATCTTCCCCCTTGCTTTGTAGCTTTTAACTTGTAACTCTGTACTTGTGACCATCAGGACTTGGTCAATAAGTAACATGAGGTCACACAGTAAAATATCATCAGATCATCAGCCAATTAGCAACAACCATGCCTGATCAAAGTCAGCTGTGATCAACACTGTTAATCTAATGACTGAATGGAACCAACACAGGTCAAGTGAGGTCCTGATCAAATGGCACAGTTGCCAAGGTAAAAAGTATTTCAGAATGCACCAGGGAAAGCTGGGAGGGCACCTTCAATTTCTTTTCCTAGATGATCAATGGAAAAAGTTTTAACTTCTTTTTCTCTTTATTACTCCTCCAACACAAATAACCTTTAGACTGTTAGACTGAATGTCTTCTCTAGAATCCAGGAATAAACCTTTGTATATGGACATCTGCCTCAACATCCTTTGTGCAAGAACAACAAAATACCAAATAGCTCAGTACTGGGTTTTTGCCAAGCTTCAGAGAATCTTCAAGATACTAAGAAGTTGAAAACTGCAAGGCAATTTTGGCAAAGAGTCATTCACAATCAATTACCATGGACTATCAAAGACTATCTGCAATGCAAGAAAGGAGCCTTTTTGACTCCACGTAATTTTTAACAATTGTGGTGGTGGGGGAGAAGGAAAAGAAGCTTCTACTGTTCACTCACCTGAAAATGACTGAAAAAGGACACTGTCTTCATCTTCGTCTGAAGAACTAAGAGACTGGAATGAAGCTAGCTGCTTTCAAATGGAAAAGAAAAAGTTACACAAGCAGGCAGAAAAAGTCCGTTTATCAACAGTAATTAGCAGACAGGTACTTAAAACAGCTTTTCTGCAAACCAGCTGTCAGACTTAACATCAAGTTTCTTTTCTCCTTACTGGGTAGCTACACAAGGGTATAACTTCAGTCAATGTGATCATCAACATGAAAATAATTGTTCATTCATCAAGTGCATTGCTTTAAAAAGGGAAAACAGATATCAGCAAATATTCAGACTGACTGTACAAATACTCAGCTTCCACAGGAGGACTGACAGAAAAAACCAAAAACCAATCTACTCACTCTTATGCTGATATACCATCTCAACATCCCCAGTGAATACATTAGGTATCATAAAGTCAAATGTACACTCTTTACGAATCACTACTTCTTAAAGCAGAATCAGGTATACTGAACAATGTAAGTCCCCTAACATTACATAGAAAGCAGAAGTGTTGCAACAGAACACAACAGTTTAGACCTACATCCTCTCTCACCTTCACCCTTTTCTGTTTTCCCAGAATCAGATAAAATGAACACTACTTACAAGATCATCTTTAAAGATTAAATTAAAAGGACACTGGCCAAGGATTGCTTTCCACTTTGATTCCCAGATCTCCTGTTTTCTAGAAATAGACCCTTGCTTTGGCTCACAATGCTGTTGCCTTCTTCTTTGACTGTAATATATAAATGAAAAATGAAGATGGATGTTGGTAAAGATAACAATTCTACATAAAGAGGAAAAGGATTACATTTTCTCCTTTATCCTGACAAACCTTTGATATATATTGATTTATTCATGCATTTATGCATTCACTAAGAACAACATCTCACAACGAAAAACGCTGCTGTTAGGTAGTCTTCATGTCTCTTACAGCAGAATTTAAAAAACTGTACTAAAAAATATGCACAATAAACACTTTAAATCTCCCTAAGCCAGTTACAGATGAAAGTTTTAAAAATCTCAGAACTTATTAATGCAACAAGACAAAACAAGGCAACAATCAGATCAGCAAGCAAATTAGGTCCCTAGGAACAAAGACTAAAATATTAATGAAACAAAGGCAAAAAGCTGAAGTTGACTAAAGAATATCAATAAAAAGTCATATAAATAAAAACAAACACTCATTTTCCAAGAGACACAAGAAAAAGACCAAACCAACATGTTTTTGCTGTAACATTTTTCTGGAAAAGACACCAATAGACACGATCCTACCATTTAAGATCAAGCAATTAGAGAAAATTTCCCAACAATTACCTTTTTGTTCTCAACTCCTGTAGTGCCTTCTTGTAAGATGTAACCATGTCCTCAATTCTGTGAAATTCTTTTAATTCACATGGACAAGGTTCATCTCTCAATGTCATCAGGGCTTCATTTAACAACTGAAAAACTGTTAGGAAATTCAGTTTTCCATCTTCATATAAATTTCCTGTACAAAACTTGAAGTAGAGCAAGCAATAAAAAAAACCTTAGTGAACAGTACCAACACCAGAACATAACCAGAAAGTTATGTCTTCTGTAGTCAGAACCAGGACACTGTACGTGTCATACTTAGGTTCAGGTCCTGATCATTTCATTTTTCAAAAAATACAATCTAGGTTAAAGCAATACAAGCCAAGAAAACTTCAACCAATGAGGTATTCTGTTTGACCACTGCCCCAAAAGATATGGCACAAACAACACCAATGCCATAACTGAACACCATACTCTACAGAATGGAAACAAAAGCAAATTAGTTGAAGCATCAGTTAAACCAGCCAAAATAATTTTACTGTCTCGACAAAAAAAAAGTCAAGTACTAATTAGGCAGACTTACCAATGTATTTATTGAACTGAAAAAGCTAATGGGTTAAACAAAACAAATACAAAACAGCATTATAATAATAATAAATCTCTGCATATGAATTATACATATTTCATGCATCCTTCTGCAATCATCTCTAATAATTCATTAAGTACTTGTTTAATTTTTTTAAGGTATTTAATTGCATCCCTGGAGACTAAATAAAAGCAGTTTAGCAATTCAGCAAGGAGGATAAAAACCACTTACTCCATATATGTTACTTTCAACTCTGTAAGTCAGCAACCCTGGAACCCTCACAGCTACATCAGTTCCATCCAGAACACATGGGTTGGCACAGTCTTGAAGTACAGAATCCACCACTTCCTTTTCCTTTTTCAGAGATGTAAGTATTTCCACTATAAGTGTCCACATACTGCGGACCTTAATAGGAAAGGACAAAAACATTGTTTTAAAATGTTTGCTATAGTATCTATAATGATATAGATATAGTATCGAAACATCATGAAGGAAGATGAAAGGGCTAGCATAACCACAGGAAAACAAGTGCAAGTAATACTGTATCTGACAGTAGGTGTTGCAGAAATGTTAGAATTCAACACACTGCCACAGCAGGAACAAAATGCTCACCTTCTGAATTTTGTCAGTTGTGTCATTTTTGTTTTGGTTATTTTGTTTCATCCTATATGCACATACAAAACAGAAATTCAAGTGGAATACAGTGGAATTACAGTTCATATTTCATAAAACAAAGTATCTAATCTATTTCATACATCCTAACTTGGTTACAAGGAGAAACACTTACCTGAAAAACTGCTTCTGCACAACTTCATATTCAGACGCTGTCTGTTTTATTTCTCTAATTAAAACCCTAGGAAAAAAATTCAACAGCTAGTATAGGCTTCTCAGAATTGCTTACAGTCACTAATCATGTCCATTCTTTCCAGATCTACATAGTAATGCTGCTGTTTCTTATACCCAGCAGCATTAAGTTACTATAAGCATCTATTGTCAACATGAACCACAAATGTATTCAGCAATTCTACAGTACTCAAATCCCTCATTTTCAAAAGACCAGAGAACAGAATACTGGAGTAGAAGCAGCTGGACCACAGAAGATCTTTTGTCAAAGTGTTTTTATTGACATTTTAAGCATGAGAAATGTCTGATTTTCAGAAACACTGGGTGCCTCAATCATGCTGCATTCCAAAGGATCTTCAGAGTTCTGACACATTGTCAAGAATGAAAAAAAGAACTCTAAAGAAATACATTTTTGAAGGGTATCACTCAAACAGTAAACAGTGGCAGTATTTCCCAAACAAGGTCACAGGAGACACAGAATTACAGAAATCAGAGAAGTTTAGGAGACTTTGACCTCTGGAAATTGAATTGTTGAGCCTTCCATTGAAAGCAGAGCCTTTAATTATGCCGCACAGTCTTGTCAAACTAAGTCTTGAATATGTCCTGGAACTGAAATTTCACTTCTGAGGGCAACCTTTTTCAGTTTAATTGTTCTTATAAGAGATCGTTTTAAATCCAGAGGCAGTTTCCCCCTAAACATCCTGTCCTGTCAGGATACATCCTTGTGAAGAGTGCCTCCATGTTCTCTACAACTACTTCTTAAATACTGAAACTCTGATTAAACCCCTAGAATTGCCTTTTTCAGGCTAAACAAACCAAATTTCTAGTTTTCAGTCATATATTTCACACTCTGCAACCCTGCAATCCATTGCAGCCCTCTGCTAGTATCTCTCCCATCTTTCACTCTCTACCTTCAAGTGGGCTGACCAAAACTAAACACAGTATTCCACATGTGGCACTAGAATTGCCAGCCCCAGCCAGCAACTAAGTACTAAACAGCTCCTCACTCATTTCCCACCTCCCCAGCCCCAGAAGAATAGGAAGAATCTGAAAAATGGTAATGACCAGGGCTCATTCCAACACAATATGGTAGGCTGCTGATCCTGATTACCAGGACACTCTGTTGACTCATGCTCAGCTTGTGGCCTAACACTACATTCACTTCTAAGTCTTCTTAACAGAGCTACTCCCCAGTTAATCACCCACAAACCTTTGCTGCTGTTGGGGTCTGTTTTCTCTCTAGGGTGCAGGACCTCACACTGGTCTTTGTTAAACCCCACAAAATTTTTGTTGTTCAAGTCTCCAGACCCAGCAAGGTCTCTCTGTGAAATGCTTCCCCATTGCAGTGTTTCCTCCTTCCTCACAGTTTGGCAACATCTGCAAATTTGGTGGGTTTGTATTCATGCCTGTCATCCATATTCCTTAAGAAGACAGCACCAGACTCATACAAACTCCACTCACAGACTAGCTACAACTTTGAGGCACTATGACACTTTGGGTTCACCCCTTTAACTAGCGTTCTGTCTTTCTTAATATATTAATCTGTTCTGAAATGACAGGTAAATATCCCTGTACCCTTGGATGAAAGCAATGAAACCTTTCCTTTACCCTCTTCTGCTGCTTCTTTCACCATTTGGCACAGAGACTGGGCTACTGATCTTACCCATGTAGCCTGAAGCAAGGTACATATTGGGTATTCCAACCTGTGAGACCTGCAACATACAATTTTGTTCAGAATCAGATCTAAATCCCCCAAGTTCTTCCACTTCCTAATAACATATTGCAGTGGGTTTTTTTTAAGATCTTAGCAGGCTCTTCGAGCTTTAGCTGAACTTTGGCCTTCCTAGCTACATCACTGCACACCTGAGAAATATTTCTGTATTTGTGTCTTGGAGTCAGTTCCCTTTTCTTTATTCCATGTTGCTACACTGTCCTAATTAGGCAGCTTCCTTGTTGCACCTGTTTCTTTTTTCACTTTATGAGATGGATCACACATGAGCTCCAGCAAGGATCTCTGAAAGTATCCTATCACTCATGAACTTTCCTGCTTTCCACAAGACATCTCCTACAGTTGCCTAGGTCAGTGGAAATACACAAATTAAAAGGCCAGTGTCATCAGTTTTCCTCTTGTCTTCCACACATTCCTTTGGAATGAAGGTTGTAAGTCTTGGCTGCAGAGACCATAAGAGCCCTCCAGCATCTCCAAAGAAGTTTCTCTCATTTACAAGCAGTGAATTCAAGACAGTACCGCTATGACTCAACACTCTCAGTGATTGCACTATGAAGTCATTCTCTAGGTACTCCTGCTTCCTGCCATCTCTAATGCACCAATGAACTACTTTGCCAGGAAATACCAGGGTAAACTGAAGTCCTTGATAAGAATCAAGGCCAGCAGAAACACACCATGAGATCTCCCTGGATGCTAAACCCTCATCCAAAGTCATGAAACATGACCAGTCCTCTTGTATGGAGCTACACTACATGCACTGACACTGCTCTTTTACCTACAGTGCAACCCCTCACCCTTTTCTGCCATTTACTAAACTCATAACTGTCCATGAAAGTGCTCCAATACTGTAAATTATCCCACACAAATTCTGTAAATTCCATTGGTATATTACTCTATGCTTGCAGAGAAAGTTCCAGCTCTCGACATTTCTCAACCTGGGAGTGTTTGCTGTAAACAAGAGTTAAGAATAGCACACTTTTGGTGAAATAATTAAGGTTTAAGCAAATTAAATGTGTCTCACAGTCACTAAACAAAACCCAGTGTTTCATTCTGAGAATGTTATATTTTAGGATATAACCCTTCAAAAGAAATGATACTGCTACACATGTAGAATTCCCTGACCATTTTAACGCCCATGTACCATATAGCATCTCCTAAATGATTCACTTCTTTAAGCTATGATGCTTCAAGAAAGATCTACAAGCAGTAGAACTGTTGATGAAAAGTTAAAGGGGGAAAATAAGGGAGCAGTTCAACAGAATGAGTTCTGTAATGTAAAGCCTATATAGACTTTTCAAATCCTTTTAAAAACACATACATGTAAGTCAGCTTTTATGGAAAGACTCATTTTCTTTACATGCATTACTTACTGTGCTTTTTCCCTGTATTCTTTAATAACAAAGTCTTCCCTTCGAAGATTTTGCAGCAGTTTATTGTATGCGACTCTGTGTCTTGCTTCTGCTATGTACATATTACGAGGTCTCCATCTTACAGCTTGAGCAAAAGGTATACCAGTGCCTAAACAGAAGTCAACGCTTGGATTACATTATTTGCTTTTAACAAATTGACAACTTTCTAATCTACCTAGATCAAACTGCAACAATCACAAATCAAGATGCTCATTTTAACCTGGACTGAAATGTAGCATGCAGTGTACTGCCTCTTTGGCCTTTTTTCTGATGTATACATCTTCATTATATATTATATTATATACTCTCACCCCCTTTCTATACTCTTTAGGTTACAATAATACAAGATGACTGAAACAGACAGATCTGATCCTTCAGAATTCCTCAAGTTCTGAGAAAGAAAACAGCGTAGCCATCCAATACTTCTGGACCAAACCATTGCTTGTGTGGGTAATGGTGCAGAGCATTGCACAGGTGAACCTTGTAACAAGATTCATAAAGTAATAGAGAGCAAACCCATCTGCATTGCTCTATCAGCAGTAGCTCTGCGCAAATGCACAGAGTGAAAGACTCTGACCTGAGCAGTCAACTAAGAACTACTTAAAGCTCCTGACATATATTGAAGACTTGATAGACTTACAAAAATAGCAAATTAAGCATTTTTATTGTCCCATATAGCTTACCTACAGAGAGCTTTTTCATGTTCTCAATCATTATGTATCTTGCAAAAAGGTAGATCACGTGAACAAATTTAGCACCACCAGGACAAAGGAGCATGGAAGGCGTAATTCGTGGAATACCTATTTCCTTTTGCTTCTAGAAAAGTATAATCATTTTAAATCAAAACAAATCTAAGAAGTAAAGCATAAACAACAGCTGTCAAAGACTTGTCTGCATACCAAAACAGTGCAGATTACCCACTAGCAAGCCTGATGCAAAGCTGAATGACTTCCACCACAGCTGACACCTACTGTAATCAGCAGAAGAGAATAAAGCTTTTTGCATTTTTCCCAACACCCATCTAGTTCTATACACAAGCCAGTATCAAAGCAAAGACTGAAATTAGTGCTGGATAAATGTTAAAAATAGGTACCCTCCTCATGCCTAACTGGTAACCTCTATCTTTGAAAACATATTCAAGTTTTCCTTCATTTTGTACTGAAGTCCTGAATCAGTGTACTTTAATCATATTTAAAGATACTGCATCATTGGTTTTCACCTTATCCATTATTACTAAAATACAGAAGTGCAGAAGAACATAAATACAAGATTTTTAGAACAATCATTAAAACAAAGGCAGAATAAGAAAGCAACAAGACTTGAAGAAATAAGTTTTGCTTTGTCTTTAAAAAGTTTACATTTTAGCTCCTTTCCCAATATACGAGAAAATACTATTAATTTTTTCATGCATGTGAATCAGCTTTCACAATAATAAACACTTTCCCAGGCAAGTTAAACAGCCCTCAAGCTGAAGGATGTTATTCTCACCTACCAGCCCTCTGACCTTAGAGGTCTAAGACATTCTCTACACTTCCATTTAATCAAATACTGTTATCCAAAAGCAAGAAACAGTAGTTTTAGGACCCAACTGAGATCTCTGTCCTCTAAATTCCCCAAAGCTAACATCTTTTCTTCAAGGAAGTCCAGGATAAACTATATGAAAGAATATACAAGGCAAAACTGAAATCTTTGATTAAGAAAATCCATACATAAAACTGATACAAAACAGTTCCCTCAAAAAAAGAGTAAGGTCACAGAAACCAGCACAGCATCAACTTCCACCTTTTACAGTACTCACTGAAATTTCTCTTAGCCACAGACAGCAGTTCTTCCTAAATTTAGGACTTCCTTGTTTTCTGAACTCAGATGGCCTTTTCATTTAAAAGGGATGAGGAAGAATGAAAAGAAAAAGGAAAAGCCATGTCAAAATACATTCAAATACCTAATTAACCACTGTAAAAACAAGAGTAAGACACAGATTTCTTATTGATGCTGAGCCAGAAAATGAGGGGCATATACCCTAGACCAAGAAAGAGGCCAGAAACCTCATTTTCATATCACTGGTCTTCCTCCCAACATATCTTCAAATGCATAAGCTGAAACAGCTCTGCTATACAAAGAAAAACATAAAGAACACTGGGTTCTTGCCATGTTGAATGTCCTGGCAACAACCCACAAATGGCAAGTGTTATTTTCTGCTCAGTCAAAAAGAATAGGACAGGTAGATTATTTATCAGCTCTTAAAATTTATATCAAAGTTTCTAAGTAACAGCAACAGAAACAACTAATTAAGTCAAGGTTTCAGACTGATCAAAATTGAATGAATGAGTTGTGATCAAAAGGAAACAAATTCTCTGACTGTATGCTCTTCTTCCAAAGCATTTCCCAAAAAACCACTTCCTTCCTCTCCAGTAACTATATGTATAATATGCATAAAATATACATGTAAGCAAAATATGTATAACACATATTCTTAATTAAAGGCATAGCAGTAACCTCAGAAACCAAACACTTACTTGAAAGTTTGTCTTGCGCGGCGCTTATCCAGCTTAGTAAACAAGAAGAGGGCAACGACATAAAATGCTCTGCTGTTTGGTTTAGCAAACATATCCCTAATAAATAAACAGCCACATCAGAAGCAGTTACGGTGACAGCAGTGCATTTTCACTTTATTTATGTAGAAGTATACACTTTTCATCCTATTTAACACGGGTGAAATCCAGGGCCGCAACAAAAACAGTGTGGCCAGCAGATCGAAGGTGGTGATTCTGCCCATGTGTTCTGCTCCTGTGAGACCCCCAACTGGAGTGCTGCATTCAGTTCTGGTGCTCCCGATACAACAAGAACATGGCACTATCAGAGCAAGTCCAGAGAAGGGGCACGAAATTTAAAAGCAGACTGGAGCACCTCCCTACAAAGACTGAGAGCTGGGGGTGTTCAGCCTGGAGAAGGTTACATGGAGACCTAATAGCAACCTTACAGTATCTGAAGGGGGCCTGCAGGGAAGCTGGAGAGGGACTCTTAGGAATTGTAGAGACAGAACAAGGAGTAATGGGTACAAGTTGAAAGACGAAAAATTTAGGTTAGATATTTGGGGGAAAATCTTTACTGTGACAATAATGAGGCACTGGAATGGTTGCCCCGGGAGGTTGCGGATGCCCCGACCCTGAGAGCGTTTAAGGCCAGGATGGGTAAGGCCTTGAGCAACCAGGTCGAGTGGAATACGTCCCGGCCCACGGCGGGAGAGCGGCAGCAGAATATGTATCATGTTCTAAGGTCCATTCCAGGCCCCTAACAACCTATGACGCTACGAAACAATTCCGGCAATTTCTCTTCCAATGCAAGTTCTCAAAACACGCGCTAGGAAGCCCCTCACCTCGCCTTCCCCACAGGACTGTGCGGGGGAGCAAGACTTCTCACTAGTCCTGGCTTTCATTTCTTCAGGAAGTCTGAGATAACAATGTGGACTGCAGCGGCAATGTGGGCATTTCCCGGGCTCTGTATGTCGCCAGGGGCACCAGGCCCCTCAGCGGCCATGGCAAGACGCTCCCGCCTCGCGCTCCCGGGGAAGACCCGGTTCGAATCCCCCGCCTCCACCCTCTCCCAGATTTCCCTAGCACTCACCTCCCTAGTTTTACGCCACAGTGGCGTTTCGGGCGGAAGCCCAAGGCCAGCAAACAGAGCCAGAGGTGATCGCTCTCCCACTTGTCGGCCATGGCAGCCGTCGGCACCGGGCGGTCAGACGGCGCACCCCTCCAGCCCCTCACAGCCGCGCCATCTTCTCGAGCCCGCCAAAAACTCCCGCGCGCGGGCCCGCCCACACCACGCCGCTACCCTCGCGAGACCTCCCGCCCGCCCCGGAGCCCAAAGACGAGGCGAGCCGGGCGCGCTGCCTCACGGGAGCTGTAGTCCGGGCGCAAGCATGTCTGCAGAGGGCCCTGCCATTTAAATAGGGATTTTGCAATCGATG